TGTAGATTATTTTGGTCAAGAAATGTTAGAAAAGAAAAAAAAAAACCCAGACACACACGAAAAATCCAGGTTGGTGAAATATCGAAGCAATCAAGGGGACACTTCACGGACTGTTATTGTGAGGAAATAATAATATACTTCCCCCCACTAGAAAAATTGACACGGGTCCATATTTCCTCTGGAGAAAAATATGAAATTCAAGTTACCCCCACCCCCTTGCCAAAAAAAGGAAAACGTAGATGTACTAATGTACTGTATCTAAAGAACGTAGTCATTTCTTGCATGGTTGCCCTTAAATACGATTTTCAATCACACTCCGGGATTTTCCATACATCCCATTCAAAACCAGTAATAATAGCTAGATTTATTATCTATGAAATATATGGAGATAACGAACAGTATTCAAGCTCAAAAGTCCATTAAACAATACAAAATAGGTGCAAGCAAACACGGACCTCCAAACATCAGAGGTGGGATCAGGTGCCATGGAGGAGTGAGCATCCCCTGCCGACCGGTCACACCCGCCGTGAGCTCCTTGTCATGATCGGGAAATAACAAAAAATCCGTCGACAATTCGGTGTGTAAATAATGGCCTAACAATTAGTATGAAAAACGTCAGTCAGCATTTGACTTAATGATAAATTGTATTTGCTGACAAGGTCATTATATCGACCATAGAACTTACGAAATGATGACTTTAAACGAGACAGCTGATATTATTGTTTCATCAACTTGTTTGTCAATAATTTACCTTGTTTTAGAAATTGTACATACGTAGAGCATGCTCCTGCGTATCGAATCAACTGAGAGATATATACCCCGTATGCAGGTGATGAAGGTATATTACTGCATAAGTAAGGGAAGTTGACGATTGAAAAGTTAAAGTCATCACGTTTATCATAAAGCTTGGTTGTTAGATTACCATTAACGTCTTTTTCAAGTAAAATATCCAAATATGAAACAGATGTGTCAGACTTTGTGGTATCTTTTATCTCAAGCTCACCAGGATATATAGTATCGACATACGAATGGAAATAGCCATTGTTAATTGACAATACGTCGTCGATATATCTAAATGTCGAGTTGAAGGCCACAGCAAGTGCTGGTCAAAAGCTCAACTAAGATATATGAATAAGTAGTACCGGTAAATATTTTCATACGCCAAAGGGCTGAAGAATTAATGCGCACTGCTAGAGAATATGAGAAAATTTGGAGAAATTCTATGTAGCGTAGGAACTTTTTGGTAAAATAGTGGACACGTAAACAGGTGGATAGGTTGACAAGTCGACGGGAAGAGAGGTTGACAGGATGACAGGTCGACGGGTTGACAGAATGTTTGGTTGACAGGTCGACATGTAGACGAGTCGACAGGTTGACAGGTCGACGGGTTTACAGGTCGACGGGTTTACAGGTCGACAGGTTGACAGGTCTACATGTATTCAGGAAGACAAGTCGACGAGTTGACGGGTTGACAGGTCGACAAATTGACAGGTAAACAAGTCGACGGATTATTATCTCCAGTGGGTTCCTGCACTAACCCTAATCTCTCGGGTGGGTTTGAGGACTATAACATTAACCCTGATCTGTCAGGTGGGTTTGAGGACTAACCCTAATCTCTCAGGTGGATTCGAGGACTAACCCTCATTTTTCCGATGGGTCCGAAAACTAACCCTAATCGCTCGGGAGGGTTCGAGAAAATACTTTCCAAATTAGGTGTCAACTGTCGACCTGTCGACCTTTGTTGTGATGGATAAGATTTAGCAATTTGATGTCGACCTGTCGACCTTTATTTTGACCAATATATACCAATTAGGTGTCAACTGTCGACCTGTCGACCTTTGTGATAATAATACATGCTAAGTGTCAAATTGTCAACCATTTAGAGAAAAACTCTTCTTGTGGACTATATCTTTAAATGCATTTATTTGACATAATAAGGCAAAACACTCACTTTTTGATTTTATAAAGGGAACTATTTCTTTCCTTATTTTAAATTTGAAAGATGTTAATCGGTTTTACGGATCTATCTTTCCGTCTACCCTAGTTGAACCGTCACCGTTGTCCGTAATACATGTATATCTTACATTCTCTTTTTGTTAACATTTTATTTCATTGAAAGTGTATTGTGTACATTTCACTTTGTAATGCTTTGACAAGTGCAACTGACATCTTTGGTAATTATTTTTGCTGAGGTGGAAGAGGCATACAGAAGTCATTTTTGTTGCGCCCAACTCTATCATAATGACAATGAAAGAGACGTCTGCTTAGGTAAACTGCGTGAGTGAAGCGAAATACATTGAACTCTGAACAAAGCTGGGCCTTATATAGCGACTGGCAATTGACAAATATGGCGGATAAAGAAAACTCTCTTCCTTTTTCGTGTTCAGCTTGTATTGTATGCATTGTATAAGAAAGACATAATAAAAAGGGTACAAGACATTTTGAAAAGATTTTTTTTTCTGACCACAGAAACGAGTTTGGATGCTTGTCTATTGTTAGATATCGTAACTGCACTATCTTTTATTTTCTGTAATTTGTAAATCTGTGTGAACTTCTATAGAAATTAATGTAGCATAGAAAATACTGTTGTGAGGAGATATCATATAAATAATAATTGATCATCAGCTGCTGATTGACTCCCGATTTTCACGCTTCACTGCATATTAGCCGATCAACGATCAATTTTAGCACATGGTTTTTCCCTAGAGGGTTGTGCTAGCCACATAGTAGATAAACAATTAACTACTCAACGACCGTGTCTATTTACTTAACTCTCTCTCTCTCCCTCTTTCTCTCGATCGACCGAAATACAAGTCTCGTAGTATAAACGCAGTTATCACCTCAAGTAGGTATCAGCAGGTAAAGAAGTTTAAAGAAAATGTTATTTAGACATTGGGAAAATAATATTGTATAAAGATCTAAATATCGAGCTTTCCTATTTAATTTTCAACATAGGATAAGTAACATTTACCCCATGGAAAATATATAAAGACAAAAGAATACTGCTGAACAGAAATCACTGTTCTGAACTTAAGGACATACGCAATGTAGTTTGAACTTTATTGTCTTATCCCCTGGAGTTGAAGAGTTCCAATACTTAAAGGAACTGTGTGCTACATTTTAATGTCTATATATGCTATTGTACACTTCTTCTAAAACACGTTTGGATAAACAAAACATCTAGAATATATGTTTAGTAATTTTTATATAATTTCTTCGAATTATACAAGAATTTTTATCAATTGATATCTTTTCAAAACCCCTGGTAATGCATGCTGATTTTTTGTCTAGGAATATCTGATGGCACCATAATCTTAAATTAAGAATATCTCGAAAAATTATCAGTAGGTAAGGTACGTTGCATATGTCCTTTAGTAGGGAAAATTCATTTACATGCAAATTAAGTGTTCAGTTGATTGATTTTGGCCTATTAATATGCTAAGAATGAGCACATTTATTAAAAATTGGGTAATACAGTGTAGATTTTTATTTATTTCAATTTAGATCAAAGAGCAGATTATGCAAAAACTGCATAAAATAGAACAGAACCAAAACTATTTAGTGTGCAATGTATAAAGAGTGTTTACACGTTTATTATGGCGAATGTCGGTTTGACCATGGCACAGCTCGTTTAAGCATGGTTCCCATAAATTAAACCTTGGCGGATCGCCATGGTAAAACCTAGCTGCAATTATGTAGTCTTCTCCGATTTTTTTTTTTTTGGGGGGGGGGGGGGAGGGGGCCACAACTCCTTAGGATCCCCGTAATAGTGCAAGTGCGGTTGTGATTCACTCCCGCACAAAATTTGATTCAAATTATCAGTAAGTGGCTATTTTATTAACATTACTTTCTTGAACTCAAAAAATGTTATGCAAGACATGAATTATCCAAAAAGATGCAGAATAATCCAGAAATAGTTTATTTTTAGTGTATGTCAACATCATAACTTGAATTTATCCGCAATGTTTACTGACCTTGATCAATTTTATTTTGGGACAGCCAAGGAGAAATCGGGATCTATAGAGCGAATCAATTTAGAAAATAATTCCCCTTTTAAAGCATAAATATCACTGTTTATGAAAAAATATTTCACATGGAATGTGTTTATTTATCAATGTTTAGTGATACCATTCAACCCAAGAGTTATCAACTCTGACATTTAATCAAGCCTTTCTACATTTCAAGGGCAATTTAAGTTAAGTTTTAGTTAACCATGCGAGAATTGTCATGGCTGCAGAGAAAGTCCTTGTTTTAGCGTATAAATGGCTAGATTGTTGATAATGAATAAACAACCAATCTTATTGGAAGGAAGTTGAAGGCGAAAGCAATTTAATTTGCATGCAGTCGCCCATAACTAATAAATTTTTTGCTTAATTATGCGAGACCATCTGCTTGCAAAAATTTAGTTCTCGCGTATGATTTTATTATTTATACAGCAATGACCAGAATTCTTGAAAATTTTGTCCGGCTATCTAGGACAAATTAGGTTTTGCAAAAATGTGATGATCTATAGTAGTCCTTGCATGAAATATATGGAGATAACGAGCAGTATTCAAGCTCAAAAGTCCATTAAACATTACAAAATAGGTGCAGAGCAAACACGGAACTCCAAAACATCAGAGGTGGGATCAGGTGTCATACAAGCGGAAATTATAGAATCGATTTTTAAAATACTAAACAAATCAACCATTTAATGATAGAATCTAAAGACCCACATATTTTTGTAAGATGTTTGAGATATAATGACATCACGTGTAATTATTTGACACTTCAGCTGTCAAACTAATCTATAGTCAATTTTTTTTCAGAGTTTTAACAACAATATTTATTTAAAATTTTAAAGAGAACAAGGATGTAACCTATTGTCAAAAACGATGTTGTTCACAAATATTGATCATTGAGTTTGATTTTGGCTCAACAAGGCCCAACTCATCAAAACAAAATAGTCTCTGAAAAGAAAAAAAAATTCCCCCTGACTTTAGTTTAGTGCAATATTGTAGCTACCGAAGATGAGTCCTCAAAGAAACCACTGATCAGAATTCCAGTGTCTGAGCTTGAACAAAAGCGCAATAATAAAATGGAGATAGAAGCTGGAAACGAAGCTAGTTTTGAGAGCATTCAGGCTGGAAAAGATGATAATACAAGGCAGAATACTGCACTGGCGTCAAAGAAAAATGACACAGATGAATCGCACAATGTTAAAATTGATCAACAGCTCACAGGGGATGTAAGAAGAAAAGATGAAAGAAATGACCAACAACTGGCAAAGGATGTAATGGGAAAAATATTGGATGCCACGGAAAATGAAATAAGTATCAGTATGATTGATTTCGCAGGACAATTTGCTTATTATGCTTGTCATCAGATCTACATGAGGTCTGAAGCATTCTACATTCTGGTGTTGGATATGAGTAAAGATTTCTATGAGATTATTTGTAGTAAAACAGATGAATGCGAGGACTCTATCTTCTCAACATGGACTTATGAAGGTATGGCATTAATAATAAAAAAAGGCTACAAAATACGTCAATTGTCGACATCGTATTCTCTTGAATACAAGAGGCCCAAGGGCCTTAACGGTCACCTGAGTACAATACAACAATTTAGAAGATCCATAAACTGAAAAATGAAGCTTTGTTGCCCAAAAGCAAGAAAAATAGTATGATTAGCATCAACAAAATAATTGGTCTAGTATCTATCTGCCTATCTGACTTTCCAAGTCATTAAATCTATGAAAGTACATTTTCATTATACAATAAATTATCTTGCATAATTCTCTTATTCTATTAAGCTTTCAAATACATTATTTACATTGATTAATTATCAAAGGTGAATGGCAAAGGGGAATAACTTTGCTCAGCAGAATACAAGTTAATAGAGCCCTGGCCAGGACTAGAACACTTGACTAAATGGTCCAGGTGTTCAAAAATCTGGTAAAAATACCCTTGCATATTAAAACTTTTACTCTGTTTGCCTTGAACATCCCCAGAAGCATAGATGATTTTCAAAGAAATGCATTTTCACCATAAAATTAAATAAATAAAGCCCCATCCTTACCCAGAACATCTGACCCATTGGCCACGAACTCACAATTCTGGAAGAAGCACCCTTTCTCATTATAACTATACACTTGTTTCTTTACTTTATAACCAGTAGTAGAAAAAATATTTTGAAAGAAATTATGCATTTTCACTATATATAATCAATAGAGCTCTTTTCCCCTCACCAGAACCCCTGACCCAAAGGCCATGAGGCATTCTTCCTTATCATAACCATGCACTTCCTTTGTTTGAAAAATACCCAGGCGCACATAAGATTTTGAAAGAATTCATGCCAATTCCCTATCTAATCAATAAAGCCCTGCCCTAACACCAGAACCCCTTACCCAGAGGCCATTAAATTCATAATTTCTGAGGCAGCCATGCTCATCATAACTATATACTTAGTAAATTTATTTAATATCCAGGAGCAGAGAAGATTTTCAAAGAATTAATGCAATTTTACTATATAATCAATGGAGCCCATCCCTAACACCAGAACCCCTGACCCAAGGGCCATGAAACAATTTCTGAAAAGGCAGTCATGCTCACCATAACTATGTTCTTAGTTAGTTTATTTAATACCCAGGAGCAGAGAAAAAGATTTTCAAAGAATTAATGCAATTCTACTATATAATCAATAGAGCCCTGCCCTAACACCAGAACCCCTGACCCAAGGGCCATGAAATTCAAAATTTTGGAAGAGGCACTCTTGCTCATCATAACTATGTACTAAGTTACTTTATTTAATGCCCAGGAGCAGAGAAGATTTTCAAAGAATTAATGCATTTTAACTATATAATCAATAGAGCCCCACCCTAACACCAGAACCTCTGACCCTGGGGCCATGAAATTCACAATTTTGAAAGAGGCACTCTTATTCTTCATAACTATGTACTTAATACCCAGGAGCAGAGAAAATTATTGCAATTCTACTATATAATCAATAGAGCCCTGCCCTAACACCAGAACCCCTGATCCTGGGGCCATGAAATTCAAAATTTTGAAAGAGGCACTCTAGCTCATCATAACTATATACTAAGTTAGTTTATCTAATACCCAGGAGCAAAGAAGAAGATTTTCAAAGAATTAATGCCTTTTCACTATATAATCAATAGAGCCCCACCCTAACACCAGAATCCCTGACCCTGGGGCCATGAAATTCATAATTTCAGAAGAGGCACTCTTGCTCATCATAAATATGTACTAACTTAGTTCATTTAATATCCAGGAGCAGATAAGAAGATTTTCAAAGAATTAATGCATCTTCACTATATAATCAATAGAGCCCCGCCCTAACACCAGAACCCCTGACCCTGGGGCCATGAAATTCACATTTTTGGAAGAGGCACTCTTGCTCATCATAACTAAGTACTAATTTAGTTCATTTAATAACCAGGAGCAGATAAGAAGATTTTCAAAGAATTAATGCATTTTAACAATATAATCAATAGAGACCCGCCCTAACACCAGAACCCCTGACCCTGGGGCCATGAAATTCACAATTTTGAAAGAGGCACTCTTGCTCATCATAACTATGTACTAAATTAGTTCATTTAATAACCAGGAGCAGATAAGAAGATTTTCAAAGAATTAATGCATTTTAACTAATGTATATAATCAATAAAGCCCTGCCCTAACACCAGAACCCCTGACCCTGGGGCCATGAAATTCACAATTTTGGAAGAGGCACTCTTGCTCATCATAAATATGTACTAAGTTACTTTATTTAATACCCAGGAGCAGAGAAGAAGATTTTCAAAGAATTAATACATTTTCACTATATACTCAATAGAGCCCTGCCCTAACACCAGAACCCCTGACCCAGGGGCCATGAAATTCACAATTTTGAAAGAGGCACTCTTGCTCATCATAACTATATACTTAGTAAATTTATTTAATACCCAGGAGCAGAGAAGAAGATTTTCAAAGAATTAATGCATTTTCTCTATATAATCAATAGAGCCCCGCCCTAACACCAGAACCCCTGATCCTGGGGCCATGAATTTCACAATTTTGAAAGAGGCACTCTTGTTCTTCATAACTATGTACTTAGTTACTTTATTTAATACCCAGGAGCAGAGAAGAAGATTTTCAAAGAAATAATGCACTTTCCCTATATGATCTATATAGCCCCACCCTAGCACCAGAACCCCTGACCCTGGGGCCATGAATTTCACAATTTTGGTAGAGGACTCAATGCTTATTACAATGATGCCAACAGTTTGACTGCTTGATGTCCAGGAGTAAAGAAGAAGATTTTTAAAGATTGCATTATTTTTGGTGGTTTTAGCCCCACCCCTCAGGCCCCAGGGGGGCAGGGACCATGAAATTCACAATTTTTGTTCCCCTTCACCCATAGGTGCTTTATGCCAAATTTGGTTGAAATTGGTTAAGCGGTTTCAGAGAAGAAGCTAAAAATGTTCAAATGTTAACACACGACGCACACCGCACGACGCACGCCGACGTACGAGAACGGATAGCAATAGGTCACCTGAGTGACTCAGGTGACCTAAAAAGGCCATACTTTAAACTTCTCAAACTTTGATTATCATTCTTTACAATTGAAAAAATGACTACATATGATGGAGAACCCTGATATGATAGATGGAATATAGAGATAACGAACAGCATTCAAGCTCAAAGTCTATTAAACAATACAAAATAGGAGCAGAGCAAACACGAACCTCCAAAAACATCAGAGGTGGGATCAGGTGCCATGGAGGAGTGAGCATCCTCTGCTGACCGGTCACACCCTGTGCTCCTTGTCATGATCGGGAAATAACAAAAAATCCGTCGACAATTCAGTGTGTAAATAATGGCGTAAAAATTAGTATGAAAAAATTCAGTCAGCATTTGACTTAATGAAAGACTGTATTTGCTGACAATGTCATTGTATCGATCATAAAACTTACGAAATGATGACTTTAAAGGAGAATGTTGATATTCTTGTTTCATCAGCATGTTTGTCAATAACTTACCTTGTTTTAGATTTTGTTCATACCTAGAACATGCCCTCGCGTTTCGAATCAACTGAGAGATATATACCCCATATGCAGGAGATAAGGGAATATTGCTGCATAAGTAAGGGAAATTGACTATTGAAGTGTTAAAGTCATCACGTTTATCATAAAGCTTTATTGTTAGATTACCATTAACGTCTTTTTCTAGTAAGATATCCAAATATAAAACAGATGTGTCAGACTCTGTGGTATCTTTTATCTCAAGTTCACAAGGATATATCGTATCGACATAAGAAATATGAAACATTAGATATATCGCAATACTTAGAGGAAGATATACCAGAAATTTGCCTAGGGTGGTGACAAGAAAGCCCTGGCGTGTTATGTCATATGATGCCGAAGGCAGAGGTTGACTTATCACTCCAGGATAGTTCTGTCACCCAGGGACAAATATTCTGGTATAATCCTCCGAGAAAACATGTGCTATATGTCATATTCTTTTTAGAATAATATATATTAAATTAACACAAAAAAATTTTGTATTGAACTGTGCTGTTTCCATCGTATGATCCAGCATTTTCCGGGGGTTTAGTGAAACTTATTACATTTGTGACATAATACAAAAAAACTTATTCAAAAATGTTAGAAAAAGTTTATATCGCCAAGAATGCAATTTCCCATTCAGACAGGTAATTATTTGTTAACCGAAGTCAAAGGCTAAACTAAGATTTAAATAGAGATAAGTGTGACCCATCGACAGGGGATGTTTACCCATCCTAGGCACCTAATCCACTTCTGAAATATTCGCATATCCTGTTTGCAGACTTCTATTTTATGTACACTATATACATATATTTTTAGATCATTCATTATCTTAACCTTTTTCATTCAGTTTGCAACCATCTCCTAATTGTCATGATTCAAGATTAGTTGAAGCATAACTTTTAGGCCATGATCGGCGAAATAGGATTCAAAGATTTACACGGAAAGATTAATACTCTTAAAGAACAACAATGACACCGCAAGGCAGGGCATCCCCCTATAGAAGAGCACATACCTGTAACGTACATCCCATCCCTTTCCATGCAAGTATCACTAACCCTCTCGCCTACTCACAAATGAGCTTTTCTACATCCCCTTCAACTTCTCAAGGCTACAATTTGTAAACTTTACCTCTAATTCTGGTTGTAACACACAATTTGACTGAATAAAAAAATGTTAAAACTTCTATATGAGTATAAGAAAGGGTCTTGCTGTGGCCTTCAACTCGACATTAATATATACCGACGTCATGGTATTAGTTAACAAAAGTTTTGCTGACAATATTTACTTTCATTCACAAGTAGACTGGAACGATAACAAAGAGTCTTCCAAATCCCTTTCTTATTTTGGATGTTTTACTGAAAGATAGACCATAATGGTCAACTAACAACTTAACTGTTTTACGTCCATCACAATATGACTTACCGGTACGTCAAGAAGAGTCTCCATCCGCTTGAGGTTACTCGGGCATTTAAATTAGTGCAATTCCAAAGTCAATGTTAAGAGAAAAATTTCGTATTTATTCATACTATATAACAGAATGAGATGAATTCAATAAGTTACACTTGTATTACCTTGCTCAGAATGGCTTTTTTAAAATTAACTATGTCGCGGCTTAGTAAGCATAAAATGCACTAACCCACATTAAAAAGTATAACTTTTGTAGGACTTTTCATTCCTTGAATATACTTTGCATTACGATTGCTGTGATAAAGGCTTTAAAATAAATGATTATATCAGGGATTTACTTTTTATTTATTTTTTATTTGTCATTCAAGAGATTATGGCCCATAGATTTCGTGTATGTCCAATTATCATGTATGTGTTTGTAACGTGTACTTCGAGATATTAATTATTACACTTTGTTCTCAGGTTATCTCAACTTCTGGCTTGACTCCATAAAATCGTTTAGTGGAACTTCTGCACAGGTTCTTGTGGTGGCAACGCATACAGAAGGCAAGACAGAAGAGGTATTTGACACAATCAGGATAAAAAATTCCTAAAATAAGCCAAAAAAAAAAAAAAAAAAAAAATTGTGGTCCCCCGCTTTAATGCCTTAGTGGTTTGGATGCAATTATATATGGCATATTGTAACTGTCTTGTTGTGTATCCTTCAAACGTTTAGATGAAGGTCACAAAGTCAAAAATGATATACATTTCTAAAAGGTGTTGTCATAATTATGTAACGTAAAATATGAAAGCCCTTATCTTCCTTTATTCAAAATTAATTAACCAGTGTAAAAAAAAAAAATTAACTTTAAGGTCAATGTCACGAGGCCAAAAACCAGAGTACTTTCCCACAGGTTTTGAAACAGGCACTGCACATGTCAAATATAAATGCCCTATATTCTCTCATTCAAAAGTTATCAGCAAATTTAGTGATGAATAATCGGAGAAAAAATCATAATCGATAATCGGCTTTAATCGGAAACACACAATCGATTAATAATCGGCTATAATAATATTTTTCCCTTTCAAATAAAATAAGAGATTCTCAAATATATTATAAAGCATAATCCTAAAATACTTCTTCTATTCAGAGTTCAATAAGTCAATAAAGTCAGTAATTTATATCTATAAACAAAATTATATTTTTTCATTGTATATGTATGGAATATTCAGTAAACGTGTTTAATGACAAAGTATTCTAATTCTTTATTTTCTCAACGTAAAATTGAAATAAAAGTTCACTTCCTGTAGCATGCTTCATTGAAAAAAAAAATAACCACATGTATGCAAATGGGAACATTACTGATATTGGTCACACCTTCCATTGTTTTTTTCTTGGAATTACCTTTTCTATTTTTTTTTGGACTTGTAAAATTGTTAATAATTAAGTTTATAGAACGTCTGTACTGTTTGTGTTTTTCTGATTATAATAGAACCCCTGATGGCCATTCCCTGTTATTAGACCTTTCATTCAATCATGGCGGTAAAAAATTGTCAACAACTGTTGAAGTGAAGTGAAGAAATGAAAAATGTTTTCTATGTTTTAAGCATTCAGGATAACTTTTAAACTTTCTGCAAATGGTTTTTGGTAATACAATTTGAAGTGTACACTCTGAGCGACGTCGGCGACTTTTGTTTAATAATCGATTAGTAGCATCGAAGAGCTCCAATCGATCGACAATCGATTGTTGGCGACAATCGTTTCATCCCTATCAGCAATGCGATTTTTTGAAATAGGATCAAACTTCAAGGTTAAGGTCAGAGTTAGAAAATGTAGCACATTTGGAACATCTTGTTACAGATAATATACAAATATGTCAAAATATGAATGCCCTTTCTTCTCTCAGGAATGATAACTTTTTTGAAAATTAGGTCAAACTTGAATGTCAAAGTTACGCCGTCAAATATCATAGCACCTTCAGAAACCTCTTGTCACAGGTAATGTACTTGTCAGTCATGAATGCACTATCTATTTTCATTAAAAAGTTATCCCCAGTGTTAAAACTTTTGAAAATTAGGTCAAACTTCAAAGTGAAGGTCATGGGGACAAATATCATAGCATGGTCAGAAATCACTTGGACCACTTGATGTATGAAAGTCCTCTCTCTTCTCATTCAAAAGCTATGACCAAATGTAATGCTAAACTATTGAAAAGTAGAATAATTTTCAAGGTCAAGGACATGGGGTAAAAAATCATAGTACACTTGGAAAGGTCTTGTTACAGGTAATGAACATGTGAAATATGAAATTCCTATCTTTTTTCATTCAAAAGTTAGGACCAAGTATTAAGTTTTTGTGACAGACTGACGGAATAACAGACGTATGAGATTTATTGTCCCCTCGTTTTTGCGAAAGGGGGGGGGCAATAAACATGTAGTCTGTAGTAAATCGTCAATTAATTGCATCAAAATGTCTGACGATTAATGACCTGTTTTTATATTAAGTATGGGGATAACGAATGTTTATTTATTTTTTCAATGTGGGAGTTCAAATGTTAGAATAACTTGAGCACAATCCCTTTAATTATGTTCATTTCGACGGTTAAATCACAATTATACAATTTAAATAAAAGTGAAAAAAATAAATATTTGTTACTCATATATTGCATCCAATCCACTCCTCAAAATCCCTCGAGCTATCGTACTCAGTTATGGTAAGGAAGAAAATGGAAAATGCGATCTTGGTACATTCTTAATATGTATTATTTAAGAAAAAAACTTTTTAACAAAATAGATGTATACATGTAGGAAAAATAATAAAGATATCCATAATGGATAGGTTTGTGCCGTACTCATTAACAGTTTCATCGCATGTATCAGCTGTGTGTAACGTGGCTTGTATAAAATTAGAATTGGTAAGCTGAATGTAGAAAATAGCCCCAGTGCAAAGGCATACACATGTTTTTTGAGAAAAAAATTGATACACATTAAAGAAGGTTTACAACATCCACCCGAAAAGTGCTGGGAGCTAGTTTGAGCTGTTTCTGAAATGCCCGTAATTTTACCGAAATGCGTACAATAGCTAAAAATTCCTACATTGCTTAACTTCTGTTATAAATAAAAATAATGTTATGCCGACCAGAATCAGCTCCCAGCTTTTTAAAAATAAACATGATATAATCAATTGATATTTCAGCTCAAAAAGTCTAGTCTGTGCCCTTGCGTTTTTGAGATTAATTAATAAAATAAAAAAGAATAAGCTTATCGTGTTAGCGATATTCTTTAGATTCTCTGTCGCTGTGCAGCTCCATATAGCACCTAGATAAATTGATAATCTATATAATTGTTTTATAATTTATTTCCTTTTAGTTTTATTGATTAGATTTAAAAATTGCCGATGGTTTCATATTTATTCAAGCATTTATTTTATAATTTTTAAACCATTGGGTCCACTCATCTGGATCACATGTACTGCGTCTTCAAGGCTAGTTAGTCATTTATGACACAAGATTTGCTTTTTATCACTCGACATTATTGTTATCAAACGTTGTGATTTTACATGGTTTTATAAAAAATTGATAAAAATAAATGTGTGCAAGTTGTTATTTACGCATC